AACTTGTTGTAGTCGCATTCTGCTGGCGTAATAACAGCGGCCCAAATCACACAGTCCCACTGAACGAACCTCTCCGCACAGTAATCTAAATACTCGTGGCAATAAAAACAACACAAAACATGAGAAGGACTGAAGGACTGAAGGGCAATAAGGCAGAGGGAAACCATAACAAATCAAAGCACTAATGAATATTGAGAGGCCACTAAAAGGAACACGCGGCAGGAGCAACAAATTAATATCGAAGAAATACCAAAATTCACATAATAATAAATGCAGCCCGAGGAGAAGGAGGAGTGGGGCTAATAAAGGGCCAGGGAGTAAGGAGCAACTTTTCCACCAGGATAATGAAGTGGCTGTGGGCGGGGAAGGAAGAGAACACCTGCCTAACAACCGCAGGATCGGAATGGCAGTGGGATTGCGAATGAGAACGAGACAGAAACTCCGGCCGATTAATAAAAATCGTATAAATAACCAAAGCTAAAGACAACAGCGGCAGAAGGACTTACAGGGCGCTTGAAATATTATACACAGTAAGGGGTGAGTAAACTTCCGGGGAAAGGGAAGGAGAGGGTGGCTCGTTAATTTGCAATAAAATCCGATTATAACCACAAAAATGCGCCCATACAAGATATATACTCTGTGGTACTTATACTTAACCAAACCGAAAACCAAACCCTCGCACAGGTGGAAATAAAAAGCCCGGAAGTCAAAGCCAACTTGTATCAATAAGTACAAAGTGGGGGCGGGGAAGGCTTACATTGATATTAAAGCCCCGCTATAAATAAGACGCCCTCCAGGCAGCCAAAGCCCACAAATTATAGCCAAGGTTTCTGGCAACGGGGTGAGTTTTCTTCTCCCCTCCCCAAACTCCTTTCTCCAGGTAGCGGTTCTCCACCAAACCAAGGCGAATTGAGATGGCATTCGAATTTGCATTGCTCCACTGAAAGTGCAGGAGAGTCCTTTCCAAAGGGCATCAATTTGCCGAACTGCTTTGGGACCTGTCGCCCTTTTCCCCAATCGACTTTCTCCCACAGGCATTTTTTATCTCCACCGGGGATGAAGTCCTTCGAAAGGGTGGTTGGATGGTGGAATCATTTTCTTACATTTCCTATGATGGTTTGACTTTCTAGAGAATGGGATTCCATTTCATACGATATTTTATCACTTATAATTTCAGGTATACCAATCCTACTCACACGTTTTACACCTTTAAGTATACTCTCCAACATTTGAAATGCATTTGCTTATCTACCAAAGAAAAGTATTTTAAAAATGCCTCAGTCTCTTATCTGAATATTAAAGTTACGCAAAATAGTAATTAAGATCTACAATATCTCAATTGACACACAGCTTTCCCAATCAAATGAACGCCTTTTTTAACGCCCCAAAACCCCTTAATAAGTCTCAATAATTTCTCTTAACTTCCCTTACAACGATTGAGCTTTAATTTAGACATTATTCAAAAATATCTGCCCTTTCCGGGGCCGCAATGGACAGAAAAGTTATGTCTTCAGCCAACCCTGGGCTCCAAATTTTTCTTCCTGCTCCGCCCAACCGCAAAGCAAATAAAAGTGTAAACACTGATTTGGCACGCGCCTTCCTTAGCCGAAAATTTATGCATAAAAAGACCGATCCCGGGTCCCAAGACCAGCCCCAACCCCCCAAAACACCCCAGGAAAGCAACCCCAAAACACGGTAATTACCTGAGTCCTTTCACGGAGACGCACGCACACAACCAAAGCAGATATCCTGTGGGCGAGTCCGATGCAGAAAAGTCGAAGGTGAGGCACTCCCACTAGCGGCGCTGTCTGGCAAACTTTTCCTTTATCATTATTATCGGGGCAACATGCATATGAATATGGCTCTGCCCCGGAGTCATGTCTGCCTTGCCAACCCAACCCCAAGCCATCTCAGTCCACTCCATTCGGAATCCTGTCTGCGCGGAGGTGTTATGGCCGGCTTCCGAGAGGACTTAACCGCTTTTGTAATGCATAATTTTGTGGGCCGCAACCCCATCTTCGCTCCGCGGGCTGGATATATATGCATAAATAATTCGAGTATTTGCCTCGTTGGGTTTTCCTTTTTTTCTCTCTCTGGTTGCTCCAGGTTAGTATGCGGAAAAATTTGTCTGCTGGCTTATTTTAAGCAAATTATGTGTAATTATTCACAAATTAACGAGCGAACAAGCGAGGAGCGACGGAAACATATTAATGTTTATTAAATGGACTGCCTGCTGGTGTCAGTTTATTGACTTCGCTTAGATCGCTTTTTGGCAAGCCGGGCATTTATAATAATTCCATCATTTCCACAAACAATTTTGCAACAATTTAGTTAATTTATAGGCAGGGCTGCGTTCGCCTTAGCCTTCGAATAGCCGTTAAATGCACAAAGGACACGCAACTCGCCAGACACAAAGCCCTCTTCTAGCAGCTTCGACTCAACTAAACCAAACTTAACTCAACTCCGATTCGAGGCGATCCAATCCAATCGGGTCCCATCCAGGTCGACGGACGACGGCAATCAGACGATAAACTTATAAATGTTGCAGACGCCGCAGAAGCCCGGGCAGCCATACATATAGTAATTATAGCTATGGGCCATATTTGCCAGCCGAGTTCGGGGAGTTCGAGTTGGGTTCTTCGGCATAACAAAAACCAGAAAGTTTAAGCGTAGTTTGTCGTTGCCAAAGGACAACTAGAGCAGTTGATGAAGAAGTAAGCCGAAAGGGTTCAGTTCGCTTTTGGACTGCTCTGTGTTAAGAGTGGGTCTGAAACCGTTTATTAACTCAGACAATAAGCAGTTCCTCTCTGGGCGAATCGTATCCGCAAATTAACGGAAGCTAAATCAAGTTAGGAATGTCTTTCGAGGGATTTCGTTTAACGATTGGGTATCTTTTTTAAAGAGGGATATAAAGGTGATTTTGCAGTATTTCGCCTGGTTTATCAAATGCTTAAATAAATCGAAAAGGTGTGCTTAATCTCAAAATCAAATATTACAAAACTAAATTGGTTTAGTTCGCACTTAAATTTAATGCATATTTCCCAATTTAGGAGTTAATGGATCTGAAAACCCATTTAAAACCCGCAATGCTATGTTAGGAGTAAATATTGCCAAATACTTGATGACCTTTCCACTTTAAATAATTCGCCTATTAATCTTCAGACTCGTATTAAATCATTATTTAATTGCCCACAACGAAGATTTACCAATTTCGTGGGGCATTCCACTTGGCTGGCAACCGCATTTCATCAGAGTGTTCCAATCGGCCATACATCATCATCGAAGCCGCAAGTGACGAATACCGGAAAGTAGGACGAAAGACGTGAGTCGGCGGGGGGAAGGCTCTTAATAAATGACTTGCGGTCGAAATGGAAATGAATTATGAAATATTTGCAGAGCTAACTAATGAGCCGCAGTCGAGTAAAAGTAGCTGTCACATTAGCACCTTGCGCGATTTAGACCCGAGATAAGCTAACGACAGGTCACCCGACGCCCGGCTTTAACCCTCGATGACCCCCAATCTTTTGCCCGGGGGGCGGAGCAGGCACACTTTTATTTTTCACAAATGGGATAAAAAACATTGACAGGTACCGGGAAAACGATGTGATAACGAGAATATATACACTCACACAGTCGCAAGGCGATGCGATTCCTGGCAAAAAGGTCAAAAGTGCCCGGAGACATCATAAACGAAGGTTCCAGCCAAGACGGCAAAACAATAACTGCAGGCAATTTGGTCGCTGGCAACTGTTTATTTGTCAAACATTTTTCTCTTTTTGACATCTCGACTTCCAGCGGGGAGTCCAAAGTCTTTGCAGAAGGCATCGAAACACGCGCCTTCGTCCCGCCCCCTTTTTTTCTTCTTGGCCAAAGGTCCGGCTCAAAATGGGCAACCAACTGCGACAAGTTGGGATTCCCTTTTTTGGGGCGAGATGTCCGAAAATTGTTATCGATGTTTTTGTCATGTTTGCCTCAAATTAAAATCCCCAATAAACGGGAAAACCTGACAGTTGGGCTCACTGATATATTATTGTCCTTCCGTTGCATGCTAAGCAGGAATTGTCCTTTCGTTCAATGTCCTGTGGCCGCTTTTTAATTGGCTCTCGTGTTGTTGGGCTGGAAAATTGAAGATCAAACGTAAGCCAGCCCAAATCCAAGGGCTGTCCAAGATGAGCCTGGAGAAAGAGGTTGTTTGCGGGCAGTAAATAAAAAGGTAAATTAAATATCAAAGAATAAATGTTTGGACCGTAAAGAAAATATTTGGTTGCAATAATTGATTTGTTGTATATTTTTCTTTTTAGATAATGAACAAATTGAACACAAAAAATTCATAAAATAACAAATATTTTTTTGCAATAGATTCAAAACAAAACACACAATTTAATTACAATCCAATACATAAAGCTCCCCTCTGCATAAGCTCTCTGTTTTTATTTTGCGTTAATTTATTTTGCTGCCGTTTCTGGATAAAAACAAAGCGATAATCCCCTCTGCAACTCACAGAATGATTCATCACGCTCGCTTGGCCAAAGCCAAGATACGACCACCAATTTGATTATGGCCATAAGTAGAAATAAGAAGAAAACTTTGGAGACTCCAACTCCATAATAAGGACAATCTTGACAAAGACAGAAAAAATATATAAATGGCCTTCGAGATTGCAGCTTAATTTACTAATTTCACTGGCTATCTGCTAATCGAGCGCAAAATAAGCAAAAACAAACGACGGACCGGCGGAGGATGTCTGGAAAATGGCAAAGGGCATATCGGGTTGCCAAGAGTTTCCCCGAAACTTGCGACGTTAATTATACGAGCCAAGTTCTGTGTCTACGCACTTGTAACAGAATCGGGCGGCGATGCACATTAATTAGTTTTTATGATTATTGGCGGGCATTGAAATACAATACGCGGCGAAATGGGAATCCGGGGGGGAATTTACATAAGTCAAGACCTGACAGCGGCAGTATGTGGAGGACGCCAGTTGAATTTGTCAATTTCTAATGCCGGTTTATCGCACGAGGCTTATTTACGAGTTCGCCTCCGGCTGGCAGGAGAATGGGAACGAGGATGAGGATGTGGAGTTGGCGGCTTTGGAGGAGATCTCAAATGGCAGTTGGTCGTTTCCCACACACGCTAACCGAAATGGGGGATCCGACTTCGCTGTAGACCCATAAATATGCAGGAGCTTGTTGTTTTGCCGGCAAATCCATTTGGCTAAATAAATGCCATGGCTGACATAAATAAAAGACAATTAAATTAAGATAATCGTTCTGACTTTGTTGGCTCTGTTTTGCTTGATGCCAAAATGAATTGGGCGTCCTCCGGGGCTTCTCCCCCGATAGTTGTTGCCCCGCTTAATGCGCTCTCACATAAACATAAAATCCACCCGGCAGCTTTAAATGTGCCACGAATTAATGGCAATCTTCCAGTCGGGCTCTCATCCCGGCCAAATCCAGACAAAATCCCCGCCAAAGCCCCACTCTGCGACAATTGCCATGCACTTTGATTTGGCTTTGATTTTTGCTTAATTACTCTGCCAACTCTCGTTCGCCTCTGTTTATGGACTCGCAGTGGAATGTGATAGAAAATTAAGCAGAGCGCGAGAATAAAATGCTCAATTGCCGGCAACCGCAGAAAAACATCGTCTGAAACAACCAACATAAAATCTAATTACGTCAGGCTTGAGATTAATGTTTCGCTTCCGCCAAGATTTAATTTGATTTACACTTTTCCCTCTGTTCGCTGAAAGAATATGCTTAAGAACAATAAAACAAATTAGTTCTTAGTCGTATGGACATTAAATCAACTTAATCTTTTGGATAAAGAAGGAAGTTCTCTTTTGGAAATATTTTGTAGACTGATTTCTGATGCTGGAAACATTTCCCATGCTCGAAAACCCACCCAAGAAATTTAATTATAGTGTAAAAATAAAAACCACATTAACATCACCATTTTCGATTTCAAAGTGAAATGTTATCAGTTCGCTTTCAGGTTCTTCGAAGGCCGAGTTTGGAAAGTGAAAAATATTTAAATAATTTTCACTTTATTTATTGGAAAACAAAACATCGACCTGCATATAAAATTCGATGGTGGGTCGGGGGAAAAATCTCAATCGGGATTAGGCTCACACAAAATGAAAACATAATTCAGCTAATAGATTTGCATAAAACATGTCGTTGCAGTCACATAAATTTTCCCTAACCCGCCGAAGCAGAGGAAAGATAACTCAATAATTTATTTGCTTAACAAATGTAGATACAACAGCTGTTTATGTCCGAAGTAATTAATAAAAGCTGTGTTTTCTGTCGCACTCGGCTTAACTCGGTTTTAGCGCCTTTATGGCTACCATTTGCAACTGCACTTCACGTTGCACTAAACTGGCATTTGGCAAATCATGATTTGGCAATGCAATCCATATGAAGTTTTTGGGTGCAACACCTCCAGGTTCTCGCCGCTGAACTTTCGAATCTGACGTGCCGCAGTGCCACAAATGCCCGACACCTAAGCGATTAAATACACAATGTATACAAATTTTTACAGAGAAAAAAATAAAGAATACATTAGATTGTAGGTATAATTTCTGTGCACTTAAAATTATTTTTTAGTTGTTCTACGCCTTAAAAAATTATAGTTTCTTCTACTTTGAACTACCTTTCTTATTTCTTATATTTTTTAAAAGTTTTTCCCTGTGTAAGATTAGCAGGGAGCCGAACTATGTGTGTTTGGGTCACCAGTTCTGCATATGATTTCGTTGGGGGCAACTGGTTTGGTTTCGCCTCGGATTTTAAGTTTCTTTTGGGGAACCGTGCAGTCGCAGTCGCAGTCGTAGTCGCCAGTTATCTACATAATTAATGCATGTCTCGGGCCACACGAAAACATGCAAACAACTGGCATATTGACCCAATATCTAGGCAAAGGGCTTGACATTTGTGGAAACTCAGCTGGAAAACGAGAAAAAAACCAAACGAAAACGATGAACGGAGCCAGCTAAAAGCCAGGCAACAGCAACATCGCGTGCCAAAAAGCCACAGAGCTTTATTGGAATATTTATGCCTCTGCAAGTCAGGCAAATAATTAAAACGAAGCAGTGCCGCAGAGAAGAAAAAACCCAAATAATTATGAACGAAGACCTGGGAATGACACAAAACGCAGAGAGACAGAAAATACTTTCGGGCTGTGATTGATGATGGGTCGTGCGGATTCGAACAGAAATATATTTGTTTTAAATTTGTTATTCATTTATGTCAGGGCGAGCGAAGAAAATGTTTCGTGGACGGCACCTATCGGGTTTCATCAGCGGAGTTGGCCTAAAGGAAGGCTCCTTCGATCACGAACAACTCCCACTTGGCCATCGGAAGAATTACTGAGCCCACACTTAAACTGAATCCGAATCAGGAACCAGCGTGGCATCATAAATAAAGTGGTTTATTATATTCAAGAATTTATGGCACATCCAGGGGAACACAATTGATAATTGCTGTCGTCTGCTTTTCTTCTCGTTTCTTCGCTTTTTACCTAACATTTCTCCGGCCAACCGGAGAGCAATTAAAACGGTCCAACCGACGTTTTCCAGAATGCAGAACGCTGTTTTTTACAATTCTTTTATGCTTTTGATTACGATTTCGGCGCCTCGTCGAACGACTCGCAGGGGGCAGAGTGCTCCATAAAAATCAACCATATTCCGAAGGGTCTGAAAACTCAATTCCGAACCGAATTCAATTTTTCAACAGAGTTGTTGGCCCTGCTTTGCGACAACACCTCAATAAAATCAAAAATGCTGCCCTTTACCCAACGGGGAGGTAAATCCAACACCAATCCACTCCATTCTGCTCAACAGAAACAGAAATCCAAGAGCATCCAAAGTGGCGCCGTTGGAAGTGGATGAGCCATGTCCGCCGACTGACCAAGATGGGCATGCATAAGTTAGGAAGGGGCTTGGGGAATCGGGGGATCGGACAACAAACACGACCAAATTGAAACAAAATTGACCCCCCGCCGGAGAAAAATTAAAATTTTATTTGTTTAGCAGGCGGCGTGACAGCAACACACAAACGACAGGTTCACCGCGACCCCGACAAATATTAATCAAATTCGTAATACAAACAGCACGACAAACAATATAACACTTTCGAAAAATCCCAGAGCGCAAATCCAATTAATAAAATCAACATTGTTGTCGCCGTATCTGTATCTGTATCTATTTCTGTTGCTCTCCGCCGGGGCTCTGGTTTCGTTCTCGGCGATTTAAATATCACAAGTGGAAATCAGTGGCCCACGCTGAGCGCAGAATTCACTGTTGAATACATATTTTGTCCATTAATTCATTAAATTATGCTTTATATATTCACCATTTGAATAAAACGTATTTTTGCAGAGCGTGGTTGGTATAGTTCCATAGTTTGATTTAATTTGTAAATTTAAGTTTACTTTGTTTCGTGTTCGCTGTTTATTAGATTAAATGTGTTATAGTAATTTCGATTAAAACAAAAATTATATTTGCTACAGAGATGGTCAATTCATTGCAGAAAAATCGATCAACACGACTGGGTGAAACTTGACTTACAATTAATTTTCCCTAAAGGGTGTTCAACTTCGGTGTTAAATACATAAACTTGCCTATTATAATTAGCCTTTTTCCTTTTACGGCTGACTACCAAATTTGCCTCAAATTGTTATCGCTAATTTGTATATATTGTCAAATTATTTAAATCATTAAGTCAAAGCAATTTTTTAGTGTCACAGGCGAAATTAACAAAATTGAGCCCGGTATTTGATTAATTAAAGGAAGAGGCGCACACATATGGCCCAGACAACTGGGCTCACACAGATACTCACGCACACACCCACAGACATACACACACACACACCTGTGCCCCAAACTTCGGAGTCGAGTTTGTTGAGCAAAGTTGAGCGTTGCGGGTTAATTACCATGTCAAATTCAAACAAAAACAACAAAAGCCAAGTACGCCAGCGAAAGGAGGTAGTTTATCATTATACCAACAAAAAGAACACGAAGAAACGGTAGTCAACGAAAATAATGGGCTGGCAAAAGGTTCAAGGCGGCAGTGCGTGGATGGGCGAGGGGCGTGGCAGGGGTTGGGGGAGTTGGCCTAAGTAAAACCTTTTCTTATCATAATTACGCACAAAACGCAGAGACAGGTAGGCTCAGGCGGCTCGAAATATAATTGAGCAGTGCGTGGGCGCCGAATAGAGAGCCAGGGGATAGTGAAAGATAGGATAGAACCCCGAAAAAAAGGCGATTATATACATACTTAAACTTTAAAAAATACGTCCTTAAAAGAATAGTTGCTATGATTATAAATATCCTAGCTGAATAACAAATTATATTTTTTTCGAAACTATTTGACCAAAAACATTATGCGAATAAAATAACCTTTTTTACTAGTTAAAACTCAATGCAGCCATTTTACTGTTTTATCATTAAATATATAAAATAAATTTAAATTATATACTGTTGAATATCTATGTAAAATATTATATTACTATTTGAATATGTTGTTTGTAAAGTTATCAGATTCATTTCAGAAGTATTTTTTGCAAAGCATAGAAAAGTATATTAGTATATTATTCATATAAACTGATTTAAATTGAACATAATTATTTTTCAGTGCCTTTTTCGATTTTTTTTTCTTCAGTGCATATATAGATTGATGCTATGTTCGGACAGGGACAAATGCAAATGCCCCAAATGATCGTCTCTGGGCGCGAACCCGTCTAAACGGAAGTCAAACACGGAGAGTGAAAGAGAGAGAGAGAAGAGGGAGGATGCAGCCGGCGAGAGCGAGAGGCAGCACCCGCATTGCAGCTGCCCCTGTTTGCCCGTGGGCGTGGCACACGCCCAACTAACCGAACTGAGCCGGACTGAATTGAGCCGAGCTCGCCCACGCTTCGCTGGCGATTTGCGCACTTAACAGACATCCATTTATAATCGCCGGCCAGCCGTGCGGACAGCCACCATCCTATATATAAACCCATATAGTATATACGTGGATGTGGATGTGTGTTTGTCCAGCAAACCCTAGAGGAACGGGACCCACACACCCAAGACGACGGAGTGCGTAGTACATTATAATGAAATTATGCATACAAAA